ATTTTTCTCTGCTCCCCTCCCTGCCTCTCCCCTCCTCCCTTCAACCCTCCCCCAAGGTCCCCGTGCTCCCAATTTACTCAGGAGATCTTGTCTTTTTATACTTTATACTTCCTGTGTAGATTATCATATCAAATGTTTTTAACCCTGAAGTTAATTTCCACTTTTCAAAATGATAAATTTTATTATGTAAGTATATTTGCTCATTTGACAGTTTTTTTGAGAATTTCCTTAGGATGAATTTTTAAATGTCATTCAAAGAATATAAATATTTTTATAGTTTTAGATGTTCATTAAGTCTAGCAGTATTTAAGTGGTGAGAATGTATAAAATGTTAATTTTATAAATAAGTAATTATGTCAAAAAACTCTTCTCTTTCTAAATCAACTGTATCAGTTCCAAATGTAAGCTATGCACCACATTCCAAATATTTATCTTGTATTCTTCTAAAAATATTATATTCATAAACTAAAAATGACTATATTTGAACTAAGACATAGATTAAAATCTGTATGTAACTGGGATAGTTTGATGACTCAAATTTCAAGCAAAGATTGATTCTGGTTTATTGATTTGGTTGAACACTGAAAGGCTGAGAGCAAACACCAAGCATACAACTCTATTATCACTCTCAATATATATTTTCAATCTCCATATATATTGTGAGGAAGAAAAAACAACAACATAGAGATAAGAAGATAAACCTACCCCACATGTGCTGCCACGCTTCTTTTAATGTCATTGGAATTGTAACGACATCATAATCTAATTTTCCAGATAATACTATAATCATTTACTACATATCATGGTAAGAAACGAAACAACATTTTAAAGAACATAACAGAGGCTTAAAGTGAGCAATGGAACGTGAGTAAGGACACCAACTGGCATTCTGACCATCACCTACGCTGTGGAGCTGCCTGTTTAACAGGACCACACTCGCTGCCCACCACAGAAACCTGGGGATTACACTTTACCACTTCTGCAATTTAACACCTGCAGAGAAACATGACCAAGTCCTGCTAGGTTTTAACTTCAGTTTCCACACTTCTCAAGTCTGTCCCTGCCACGCCAGAGAGTATGAGCTTTCCACTGTCACATTCCGTTCTACAATTACTAAGAATTGCTGGGAGAATTCACTAAGTCACAGATTCCCCATTTATCCTAAAGCGAATATAGTTAGTCACTACTTACAGGGATGTTGTGAAGACGAAATGAAACAGTATTTAAAATAGATGCCAAGTTCACAGAACGCAGCAAACATCAACATCACCAGTGTCCTAACCTCCTTCCCTAGCCAACCACCACAACAGCCTCCTTCCTGAACTCCCTCCCTCTAGCTTTTACCCTCAAACTTCTCCTTCACACAGCCAGGAGCCACAGCAGACTTACTGAGCTGTACGCCATCTCCTGCCTCTCTTCTAGAGAACTATCTACACCCAGGTTCTGCTCATCCTGACCCTTTAACTTCAGCACTAGGTTTAATCTGCTGTAGCATATATGCCACAATAATACAGGTCTGTTTTTCACCTGGAAATGACAAGAGAATCCATTTGATCCACGTTTGAATCCATAACATCCTGCACAGTGCCTAGCACGTAGTAAGTGATCAATTTAATGAACAGGTGCTTTCAGAAATAATGTTTACTTTCTGCATCCCTCCCCCACTTGAAATCCTGGTACTCACTTGCTCACGAATCATATTCTTATAGTGAGTCACAATGTTGTCATGCTGTTCTAGTGTTTTCTTCACCTCCTCCTCCTTCTTATCTTCTTCACTGGACTTATAAATAGCCTTAGTAATAACACCTGTAAAAGAAAACGTATTTTAACTCTGTACTGAATGCTTTCTGTGGTTCTACAGACTGAATTCAGGGCCCCAGAGGAGTTAGGTAACTTTTTCTAGCTAAATTTTAAGCATTGTAAACACAACTTAATTTTAAGGATCTAATGAGTAAAACTAGTCCAGCTCATGACGGTCATGCAATACTTTCTAATCTTACAGAATCCATCCAGTCTTTCCATGTGCTGCAGATGAACTTCCCAGCTCATCACTCGTCCACATCCAGAAAGAAACACACACACACACACACACACACACACACACACACACACACACACACACGTGGATGCACCCACAATGGCTTTGGGGCAGTGCAACCCTCACAGCTTACCTTCAAGTTCTTTCACCAGCTTTGTAAACTCATGATCAAATATCATGTATTCTGGACTCGGGAAGTTTGGCTGGGGTTTCTGGGATGCTCTGGAGTATAACTCGTGTTTGCTAATAAATCCTAGTTTCTCTATGAAATTCTCTTTGCCAATCCTCTTCTCTATTAGTTGCTTTAGTTTCTCTCTACATAAATAAATATATGAGATGCTTAAAAAACTGCAAAGTCATAAGCTTGGTTTATTTACACTTTAGCAGAAAAAAGTATCTCTGGATGATTAGAGGGCCATTATGCTCTTACTTACTTCATGTAGTTTTCTAGCGAATTATCATTGAAATAAATAGAAATGCCCAAAAGAAGGGCACATAAGCCTTGGACCAACTGTTCTTCCTCTCCGAGATTTTCTGCAATTTGTCCTGTAAGCTGACATCTTTGTTAAGGAGTTAATGATTTATAGTAATCTGAATTTAATACATAATCTTAAGATTCTCTACAAGAAATTATATAATATATATCTCCAATCTAGCATACTATAAAGAACTACACATACATACAGAGAGAGACAGAAGAAAGAGAGCAACAGAGAGCGAGAACTTAAGCATGCATCATTATATACCCATAACATTTTCAAGTTTCAACAGGAGTTGAAGATGTAAGTTACTTACATGTACGACACCAAAACATAAAGGATACGAATGGAACATTGGCTGAATTGTGAAGAAAGTGTGTTACTGCAATGGGACAGCTGCTCAGCCAGGTACAAAGCAACATTAATAACCCAACTCTTGTCTGTATTTTGCTTCCCTGCAAAATAAATTGGCAGAAACCACTTTGTATTTATTATTTTATCAAACTCACAGTCGGCTTAAGATCCCTTCCCTTTTGTGAAAAAAGAACTGAAGCATTGTGAGATGTGTAAGGGAGTCAGACTTAAAAACTGAATGAAAGAATACATTTTTGTGTCTACCACAAGCAGCACTTCCCCAATTAAACACAGTGCAGACATTAGAATTAATTTATATGCACCAATACAAGTGGTTATTTAAAATAGCAGTGGTGGCTGGGCTGGGAATATTGTTCAGTTGGTACGGTGCTTGTCTAACATGTACAAAGCCCTGGTTCCATCCTCAGCATTGAGCAAACCCAGGTATGGTGGTGCATGCCTGTAATCTTAGCACTTGGGAGACAAAGACAGGAGAATCACAAGCTCAAAGTCACCCAGAACTGCACAGTGAGTTCAAGGACAGCCTGAGTTATCTGAGGATCTGTATAAATAAATAAATCGTAGTAGCAAAAGATGTTATACTACGAACAAAATTATAATGTGGGAGCTTTAAAACACCAATCCCAAGACAAACGATCAAAAATAAATGTTTCACACACAGCTGAGTAGGCAAAGAGGTGGGAAGGATCTGGGGGAAGCCAGGGGAAGGAAAACATGATCAAAACATACTGGATGAAAAAATTTTTATTGCAAAATGAAACAAAAAATAAATGCTCCAAATTAATATTTTAATCTTTTTTAAATTAGCAAAATAGAAGAGATTTTATTGAGAAGTATAAGTGCAAGGTAGGCAGATCTACTGCAAGAGAACCTCAGTCAGAATTTTAAAAGCAAATTCTGATTAAAGAAAAATAAATTCTTCCTTCTCAAAAAAAAAAAAGATAAAAAGGCACAAAAAAGCCATTTAGTCAAATTCTAAAAGAACGTATTATTCTCAATAAAAAAAAAAATGAAAGCCCACACTGCAAGCCTAGAAGAGACATCTCAGACAGAACTAAGGGGGTGCGCTCGCTAGCACCAAGAACGTCTTGAACATACTGACTGTACTGCTGCCAAGATCAGGTGTCCAACAAGAACACGATTTTTGAAATTTTAATACAACATACATAAATCTCCACATACAATGTTATTTATAGCCTATTTTTCTTTTTAAAGAACAAAATCTGAAATAAAATAATCAAAGTCAGAATAATAATGATTCATTTGGGAGAATTTTCAGAAATATACAAATTATAATTATTCAAAGAAATGAGGCAAGAAATAAACTTAAATTAACTATCACTATGCTTTTCAAAAAAAAAATTTTTTTTTAAACCAGATTTACGTTGGGCTGTGGTGGCACACGCCTTTAATCCCAGCACTTGGAAGGTGGATCTTTGTGAGTTTGAGGCCAGCCTGGTCTATAGAGCTAGTTCCAGGACAGGCTCCAAAGCTACATAGAGAAACCCTGTTTTGAAAAAGCCAAAACCAAACCAAACCAAACCAAACCAAACCAAAGCAAACCACATTACTTATTTATATGTATGTGGAACACATGTCTGTGTGTGTGTGTGTGTGTGTGTGTGTGTGTGTGTGTGTGTGTGTGTAGGTCAGAGGACAGTTTGCGTCTCTTCCATCATGTGGGTCCCAGCGACTGAACTCAGATCTTCAGGCTTTGCAGCAAGGGCTTACATCCTCTGAGCTATCTCTCTAGCCCCTCTTCAAATCCACCCAGATTATTCTAATTTCATAATCCTTGAGGTCTTGGTTTATTTATAATCTATTTTCAGGTGTTTTTTAATATTGATTAATTTCAAACTACTTTAAATGATCTTCCAAGGAGGTATCAAAATGGATTTTGGTTTTTGAGACAGGGTTTCTCTGTATTTTTGGAACCTGCCCTGGAACTCTCTCTGTAAACCAGCTGGCCTCAAACTCACAGAGATCTGCCTGTCTCTGCCTCCTGAACACCGGGATTAAATGTGTACACCACATTGGCAAGCATAAATTTAGTTTTTAGGGCTGGAGAGATGGCTCAGTGGTTAAGAGCATTGCCTGTTCTTCCAAAGGTCCTGAGTTCAATTCCCAGCAACCACATGGTGGCTCACAACCATCTGTAATGAGGTCTGGTGCCCTCTTCTGGCCTGAAGGCATACAAGTAGACAGAATACTGTATACATAATAAATAAATATTTTAAAAAATTTAGCTTTTACATGATGTGCTATTTTTCCTTATGTTCACGCTGTAGCTTCCTGTTATTCACAGAAATTGGCCAGCTTAGAGCATCTTTCTCAATTGAGCACATCGCTGTTTTGCCTAGCTCCTTGATTATAATTCCATATAGTAGTTATTGTGTTGACAACAGATTCATCTATACTGCATATAGAGAAGAATAACTCACACAAAAATACCAAAAGACAGATTTCTTCCTTTTTTTCCTCCTTTTAGTGCTGGAGAGTGACCTCAGGCCCTTATCCATGCAAAGGATGGGCTCTAATACTGATCTATACCTTAGGTCCCTGAAGAACTTTACTTTCGTAGAACTAAATAATTTGATTTTTAACATCATATGGAAAAATAAACTAGTGGAAATAATTAAGGATACTATGAAAGGTAGTATGAGGTGATACTAGGTCATGTAGAAAAATGAACAGAACCAAAGTCCAGAAATGGACTTGTACAAATGAGAATTTGTGTGTGGTAAAAGTATTATACAGCCATCAGTGTGTCCTAGATAGACTAAAATATTGGATCAGCTAGATAGCTGCCTAGAAAAACCCCAGTGGGGGCTAGCAAGATGGTTCAGTAGGAAGTAGTGCATACTGCCAAGCCTGACAACTTATGGTAGAAAGAATCATTCCCGAAAGTTGTCTGTTGTGGAATATTAATTGAAGATGTGTGACATTTGTTCTTGTGAAACATTTAATTATGATGCAAAGATGTGTTGTATTATTTTTTTTAAAAAAATTAATTTTATGTGCATTGGTATTTTGTCGTATGTCCCCTGAAACCGAAGTTACAGACAGTTGTGAACCACCATGTAGGGGTTGGGAATTGAACCCAGGTCCTCTGAAAGAGCAGTTAGTGCTCTTAACCCCTAAGCCATCTCTCCAGCCCATGTGTTGTATGTATTCTTTTGTGTTGGATTTGTTTAACTCTGTGAAGCTGTGTTACTTGGCCTGTCTAAAAAAGAGCTGAACTGCAAATAGCTAGGCAGGAGAGGGATAGACTAGGCTGGCAGGCAGAGAGAACAAACAAGAGGAGAAATCTGGGAGGAAAGATCAAGGAGCCAGAAAAGGAGGAGGATGACAGCAGGGACCATCCATCCAGCTACACAGCCAGCTAGAGTCAAAAGTAAAGAAAGGTATAATAGAATAGAGAAAGATAAAAGTCCAGAGGCAAAAGGTAGCTAGAATAATTTAAGTTAAAAGCTGGCTAGAAACAAGCCAAACTGACACTGGGCATTTATAATTAAGAATAAGCCTATGTGAGATTTATCTGGGAGCTGGGTGGCAGCCCCCAAAGAGTAAAGAGTACGAGTAAGAAAAAACAAACAAATAAAACAAAACAAACAAAACCTAACAGTTGTCCTCTGACCTCTGTACAAAGGCTAGAGAGCTGGCTCAGTGGTTAAAAGCACTTGTCAAAAGAAAATGATGTGTGTGTGTGTGCATAAGCTATATCAAAAGACAACAGTTAAGCTCCTTAACTAGGCAGAGATTAGAAAATACAAAACAAGTACACACCTCTTGTCGGAGTCTACAGAATGTGAGCCATGGAGATGTAAAAACAAAAGGAGACTGAAGATATTATTCTGGGCATTCTGAGGACTCAGTCATTAAAAACCATAGATTTGAAAGGATGAAAGAAAAGCCATAAACACACACACACAAGTTTTCTTTTCTTATGAGAGAGAAAGGGAGAGGGTGGAAGAGGGGAAGGAGAAGAGGAGGCAGAGACGTGTGTGTGTGTGTGTGTGTGTGTGTGTGTGTGTATGAACACACATGTACCAATGTGGTACAAGGGTGTATAGAGGATGCTAAGAATCTTCCATGACTCTCTCCAAATTCTCTTTTGAGTCAAGTGAGCCTCTCATTGGACCTGCAGCTCACCTTTTTGGCTACCCTTGGTGCAGGAGAATTGTCGGTATTCTGTCAATCATGTTTTAAATAAATGCTGATTGGCCAGGCAGGAAATATAGGTGGGTGAACCAGACAGGAAGTAGAGGCGGGGTGATAAGAACAGGAGAATTCTAGGAAGGAGGAAACCCATTCCTCACCAGTCTAGCCCAGAGCACCAAAGAAGCAAGATGTGACCTGCCCCACTGAGAAAGATACTGAGCCATGTGGCTAACATAGATAAGAATAATGGGTTAATACAAACTACAAGAGCTAATATGTAGCCTGAGCTAATGGGCCAATCAGCTTATAATCTTATGGAGTCCTCTGTGTGATTTTCTCTGGGACTAAATGGCTAGGGAACTGGGCAGGGCAGAAACCCCAACAAGCCGGCCCATCGTGTTACATACCCTGGCTGGCTAGGGAGTCCCTGGGATCCACCTGCTTTCGACCCTGAGTGCTGGGGTTACAGGTGCACACCACCACACCTAGTTTTCATGTCAGTACTGGGGATCAAAACGTAGGCCCTCATGTTTGTGAGGTAAGCACTTCACTCATCGAGCTGTCTCACCAGCCCTTGTTTCTGTTTGAGACAAGGTCTGCATATGTGTCTCTGGCTGCTCTGAACCCGCTAATACCAGGTTGGCCTCACATATACACTGATCCTCCTGAGTCTGCCTCCACAGTGCTGAGGTTTAAGGTATGTACTACCACGCTCCGGCACAAATAAAATTTGAAGTTAACTCAAATAATCTTTAATATCAGCTATTATGCTTTTATAACTACGTTTTCTAAATAAAAGCCCTTCTTATGCCTACTATGTTCATTCAAGTTGAACATTTTTATATTGTTTATATAAACAAAAAGCTGGCACTTAAAATTTTTAACTTTTTTTTCTCATGAAAATAAGGTTCTAGAAGTTGGACATAGGAGGTCTACCTATAACCCAAGCACTGGGGAGGTAGAGGCAGGTTAGGTGCTCAAGGTCAACCTCAGCCACATAGTGAGTTCAAGGGTAGTTGGGTTAAATGAGACCTTGTCTCAAAACCAATCAAAACAAGTAGTTCTAGTGTCTTATGATCAGAATAATTTTTAGTGGTAGCTTCTAAGAACAAAGAATAAGAGCATTGATAAAATTACACAAATAACTCTACAATTTGTGGTGAATGGTTAAAAAAAAAAACCAAGCCAATCAATTGAAAACATAATGTCTGTCTTTTAAATGGTTGACATTTATACTTACAAGACACATCCTAAATCAAAAATTCTGGGGCTGGAGGTGTGGCTCACTGGTAGAGCACTTGCCTAGCACATAGAAAGCCCTGAGTTTGATCCCCAGAACCACATAGGAAAACAAAGAAACAGTAACTGCTGGCAGAAGTTGTCAAGTATGCGTGTATGAGTTGTAGCTCCACGCTACACCATACTCACACTTGAAAGGGTAACTAGCTGGACCTCATTTACTGCTGGTTGCATTGTATGACTAAAATACATGACTAGACAAGGATGTTAAGATATAAAAACTAAACCAAACTGAACATAAATAACACTTTCTCGCAGCATAGTAAAACCAATACGGTACCTGTAGCCTATAGATTATATGCAGAATAATCTGTAATACTACATTTAAAATTATAATTACAAAAATTTTACTGTTGTACATTTTAAATAATGTGAGTAGTATAAAGTCACACATTCCTCCTTCACCTACTGATTAAAAGGCATACTTTTATCCCTAAACTTGACTTTCTTTAAATTATTTTTAAGGGAAATAAAGAAACAAGCTTGGGGGAACCAAAATTGAGGAATCGGAGGGCAGTGCAAGCAACCCTGGAAGAAGCCCAGGCCATAGGTTTAGTAGTCCCCATAGTCTTAGTAACCAGTCCAAGAGGGAATGGAGGAAACTAGAGAGCCACTGTGAAAGACAAACTTGCCAACACACGTAAAGTGAGTAGAACAGAACTTCAAACAAGCTGTTAAAAACCAACTGCAAAACCCAAGACAAGAAGCCCGTCAGAAGAAAAGGCCTCAACTTATCAAGTATACATACCCGTCTGTCGATCTTATCACCCTGCAAATTATACATCAAACATTACTCATAAACATTGCTTTAAATTACCTAAGTCCAGAAAAATCCCTCAACTATGCTCTTAGTCTCTGCAATCTAAGCTGACAGATACTTAGCTCTAATCTTTGATAAACTTGGCACATAAGGTTAATTTCACGGCCTTGTGATTACTTACAGGGGGTTAGCCATCACCACTGTAGGTCTTTGCATTACACAGACATTACAGTTATAAAGGTAAGGTGTGCCTGTGGCCCATGCCAGTTTTCACAACTTGACAACAGTTATTTTCAACAGTGATGGTGAGCATCCAGCATTAAGTAAGTAAAGATTTGAAAATTTTAGTTTCTTTTTTAAATCATGAAGAGATAAGTGATGAATTGGCCACTGAAGTAAACCAATTCAAACAGCATTCAACTCTAATTCCCATTAGTTAACTTCACCCCTAACTTCTATGAATAATGGTATTATTTCTTTAGTAAAAATGCTCAAAAAAGGCCTGTGAACTGGGGGATATAGCTCAATGGTAGGGGGTGTTTAGTAAGCATGAAGAAAAGAGTCTACTGCCAAGCAACAGCGACAACAAAAAGTTCAAAACAAAGAAACTGCAGTGCATGATGAAATTCCACAGTGCAGGCCACTGCAGTGCTGTGGGAGCACGGAAGGGACCCTCCACGGCTAGACCAAGTAGAAAGAACAAGGGTTCATCCATAATTTAAGTCCTTCAGGACTCTGGCTTTAAAGTATGCTGAAGTATGTCTTTAACTGTTCAGAAGCAAGGTTAAGTGCACGTGGGCAAACCATGGAGTAAGAGACACGCCCAGGCGCCTTGGCAAGCACCTTTCACTTGTCCTCCATAACCAGCTGAAGGAACACACACAGCCTTAGCTGTGTTCGTCTGTATCTTGCTAGGCATATGAGAACTCAGACCCTGGAAATACACACTGTACATACTGCATATGGAATGGGCTGCTACTGGGTTGTTTTTTTTTTGGGGGGGGGGGTCAACTGCTTCAGGAGAAAAGATGGAGGCATATAACTATGATTTGCAGTTATTTTACTTTCTCTCCTTAACTGATCTGAACTCACTGAGAAGAGAAAAAAGACAGGGAAGAATCCTAGATAATTTAAGAAAAGTAAAACTCAAAACAGCCCTGTGCCAAGAACTTGTGTTTTGTCATGCTGAAGCCCATATATGCACTTGGTAGAACTACTCCTGCAGAAATAGTTTGGCTTCCTCTCCACAAAACTGCCTGGTTTCAGCGAGTGCTTTCTCTCCTCGTCCACCCTGGGTCACGGACATGACAACCCTTTGGCACCTCTCAAGAGCCTGTGGCCTTTACCTGGGAAAGGATGTTGGTACACTGCTGCAGCAGGGACACTGGAGGGTTGCCAATGCTTGTGGCCAGCTGGACCCTGAGCAGCTGCTCCTTCTGGGTGGCGTTCCCCTGCAGCGCATGGGCGAGGGCCACAGCAGCGCACCAGTTTGAAAGAGAATCTGTAGAAAACAGACCTCCACAGAGCAGCTGACCAGCTGAGACCGAGTTACCTGTTGCTGCAAACAGACAGGAACGTTAGGCCCTGTGGAGTAACCCCACACTCACAAGGGTCAGAAGAACTGTTTCCTACACCGGAGCAGTAAAAACACTATTATGTACTATCTAAGACTTCAAACACAAAGGGACAGATGACAAAAAGGTATCTCCTAAAAGGGTAGCTGCACAAAGAAATATCAGAACATGATAGGCATCAGTCTGATGGTAACAAGACAGAAGACTGTCTTCATGGAAAACATAATTTCTAAAACAATCGGCACATTATTTCACTACCCCTAGCATCTTACTTTCATTTATAGAAAACATCTCTATAATATCCTTTACAAAAATAATTTTGGTAAAATATAATTAAATAGACTTAAATTTTTGTCTACCTCCTATATTATTAAAATGTAATTAAAATGAACTCACTAAAGTTTCCAATTATTTGTGTCAAATTGCTCTTAATATGAAAACAGCCATTTAAACACATCTCAAGTAAACGGAATACTGGAGAATCCATAAGTAATAGCTATACTCTATCGTAGAGCAATAAATCAAAATGTTGAGTGTGACTAAGTGGTAGGATTTATCTTCATAGTACTGATTTGCTGGTGTTTATTACACACTAGGATTTGGGGTCATGGCTCTACCTGTGTAACTGCGTGTATGTAATCTTCACAATCTTTCTAAAGGCATGATACCCATGTATGGACAAGTACCACATCCTCTCACATCTTAAGAAGGAGAGAGAAGTAGAAATTCTGCAATGTAGATCCAGGTGCAGTCTGACTTAGCTCTCCTCCAATCCAATCTAAGGCTTTCATCCGAGTTACTAAGTACCTGTGGCTAAAACATAAGCAAAGATTCAAATACAAGCTTGAAAAAAAACTTTACTTGCCATCAATAGTGGAGGGTAGAAGTGTTGCCACGATTTCTCCTTGTCCTTTCTGGTTTTTATATAAAAAGCACTGGAAACAGTAGAGAACAGCACAGCGTAACACAAATGGCTGCCTTTCGTTCACCATGGACATGAGAAGTACAACAATTGCTGGTCTGACAAGAGTGTAAAGAAAAGAATGAAACAGAGCATTACAACTCAAATATATCAACTACCAGTCATTTTGTTGCTTGAAGTACCATAACCAGGACTCAAGCAACAAATATTTCCATCTTCATTTCAGAAAGAAGGGAGCTGAGGCTAAGAAAGTCCTGTGATTTGTGTCAATCAAAAGGTTGGCAGCTGAACCAAATATTAGGTACCAATAGCATACATACATTCTTAATCACCAACATCCTTATACAGAAGCATACAATCTTAGTCACCAATATCCTTAAACAGAAGCATAGTCTTAATGACCAATATCTTTATATTATTGGGCCATTCCACAACACACACTGACCTTTAAGAAGAGTAAGATGGGCCCATGAGATCTACTAGCACCCAAACCTAAGTCTGACTTCCTTACAGGGACCTGGCATTTCCTGATTCTTACCTTGGGGGATTTGAAGGTGCATTCACAGAAGCAAAGTAGTCTTGGTTGACTTGGCAGCCTCGGATAACTTCGGATACAGTATTTATGGTCTGTCAAGAATGAAAACGAAAAAACACTATGGAAAGTAAGTTAAGAGGGAAAAATCTATTTTCTAAGAAAATGTTACATCTTGCTCTTTTGTTTTTAAGTGTCAAAATTCAGACATGAAAAGATCAGTTAGAACATGATCATGCTGAAATGTTCTCTGGAGATCCTCCCAGGATGCCCAGCCAGGCCTCATTAAAACCAACACTCGCTGGACACAGACACACGCCTGGAATCTCAGCACTGNGGGGGGGCGAGAGGAAGGAGGAATACAAGTTGAAGGCCAGTCTCATTTCCACAGCATGTCTGTGGGTTCCATGAGACCAGATCATAACTAAAACCAAACAGAAGATTTGACTGCATGCAGTTTGAAGCCTCATGGAAACTAAAAGAATAATGTACTGTAAGAGGTGAGACATATCCCCAGTCCTAGCAAATCAGAGAAACGCTTTAAAATAAGATCAATGGACACACTTAAAATACAATATAATGAACGTTCAATTTAAAGATTAAGTCGAAAACAACCTCCAAGAAACAATAATGAAAAGAAAAACTATATTTCAGAGTAGTGTTGCACATAATAAACACATGTCATCATTATCAACTAAAAATTCCTTTTAAAGATATCTGTAGGTTAAAAAATTTACAAATTTGTTAACAAAGTTCCAGGAGAACAGAAAAGATGTTATCAAGGAAGAGCAGCCACTGTCCTAGGTGAAGAGAGCGGTCATCACTGCTGGGATGGGGACGAAACCCACAGTTAGCATCAGTAGTTTTCAGAAAACTAGAATTAAAGAAAAGATCCAAAAATAAAAAAGCAGACTGTAATGTCAGCACTCAAGAAGCTGAGGCTGGAGCACTATCTGGAGTTCAAGGCTGGCCTAGGTTAAGAGTGATATTCTGTCTCACAAATGTTATATCTTTACATAAATCCTACTAATTTTAACATACATTTCAAAAAACAATCCTGGCATGACAGAAAGAAGCAAAATAAGAGAGCTGTGGGACTGGGGTAGGGGATGGAGACAAGATTGACTTAAAGCAGAGAGAAATAATGTGGGATTCCCCTCTGTATGCTGTGAATACCACTGATTAATAAAGTAGCTGCTTTGGGCCTATAGAAAGGGTAGACTAGAGCTAGGCAGGGAAAACTAAACTGAATGCTGGGAGAAAGAAGGTGGAGTCAGGGAGATACCATGTAGCTGCCAGAGGGGAAAGACACAAGCTGCTAGCTGGAACCTTGCCGGTAGGCCACGAATTTTATAAAATATAAAATAATGGAAATGGATTAATTCTAGATGTAAGAGCTAGCCAATAAGAAACCAGAGGTAATAGGCCAAGCAGTGATTTAATTAATACAGTTACTGAGTGATCATTTCAGGTCTGAATGAGTGAGTGGCCTCCTACAACAAATTGGCACACCAACATAGTCAACTATAACCATGTAAAACCTGAGAAAGCTTAAAAAAGAATTCTAGACACAAAAGAACAGAGTTAAGCACAGCTTCTTGGTAGCCAGCAATTATTTTTTCCAGATGGACTCTGATGGCAGCGAGTTTGAGAGAGGTCTTTCTGACTCAGCATTGGCAGTGAAAACCGTGCGGCTCTTTAAGAAGGCTTTCTGGTTCGCCAGCACGAATGGCTCTCTATTTTGGGAGGTCCAGCTACAGAGCATTTAAGTGGGATCTGTGAGCAGAGTGCTACAATTTGCTTAATGGCAACACAAACCTGTTGTGTGCCTAAAAATGAGGCAATGTACATGACTCTCAGAGGCAGCGAACATGCCTCTGCCATGCTGTACTGGGTGGAGCAAGCAGACAGGGCCGTGTTGGCCCTAGCCGTGCCTGCTTAGCATTTAAAAAA